AGCACTATGACGCGCCCGTCCGGGAGCAGCGTGGAGTAGCCGGACCACACGCCCTTGGCGTCGTACCAGTGGTCGGGGACCATGGCCATGGGGAGGTGGAGCCAGTGGATCAGGTCACGTGACACCGCGTGGCCCCACGAGATGGTGTAGTCCCACGCCGTGCCTGTCGGGTTGTACTGGTAGAAGAAGTGGTACCAGCCTTTGTAGTACATCGCAGCTGTTTATAAAAAATCACATATATGCACCGTTAATTTTCATCTCCCTCAGCCAGCAATATACAATGCGGGTGGTAACAATTTTGACAATGTTTTAAGGACACAATTAATTAACCCAAATCTAATGCTTTTTAAAGAAATGACACAGAAGACAATTATCTAATTTTAATCATGATTTTTTTGGAGTTAGTTTGTGAATGTTTGGTTGGCGCATACTACCCGGGATTTGGCTAGTAAAAAATTTGGATAGCATCTTCTTACCATGAATTTGTTTTGACTTTCGGGTGGTAATTAAATATCACTTGTTCTCTCCAATTTATAGATTTTCGTTAAAAAAACCCGCCTACTTTACTGTAATCTTTTAACTACTAATTATATGATTGTTAGATGTAGGCAATGGCACGCTCACGAGCTATTAGGGGCTGTTTGGTTCCCTGTTTTTTAGGAAAAAACTCACTTGAAAGCCTGTCAAAAGTGTCACTTTTTGACAGGCTTTCAGCAAAAATCTTCATTTTTAGAGACGATTTTGGCTGAAAGCCTACCAAAAAACAACACTTTTGATACTTTTGACAGGTTTTTAAGAAAGTCTTTTCTTCAAAAACATGGAACCAAACAGCCCTTAGACGCGGAATTTAACTGTCGCTGAGTGATGGTAATGATTGACGAATTTAACTTATTTTTGTTGATGGAGTGGGTCCCCCACACGCCAACATTTTAACCTGTGAAGGGTAAACAAACCGTAGATGTCTATTAGAGGGACCCAAGTATGGCTATGATGTCGGAAATTTACGAATGGACGGCTCAAACTAATTCGGAGATTTATTTAAAGCCTCAGTTGCAGTAATAATGCCATGGATCTGGGCAATGTGGGCCTTAAAAAATAGCACGAAAAGGACAGGAGACCCTGATTGCTGTTGGTAGGGAGAAGATGGGAAACATCGGTAAAGCTTTATTAAACAAAGCCGTACAAAAAAGCATTCACAATCGAAGCACGTATACAAATTCTCAAGGCGAAAGAGGAATTCAATGATTCCCCCAGAGCAACTTTAGGGCTACTATTTCATCCGTACCAATAGGGGCTGTTTGCCCATGAATTATTTTTGAAATATAATAATACCATAAAATAGGGGGAGAAACAGATGAAAATGATGGTTTTGTTAGATTATGAATGGAGAACCTCAAATCAATCAACATTTTACTACTTAAAGGGGGCATCTGGATTTGATCTGGCGACTTCTAATCAACGATCATTTTCCCAAGAGATCGAAGTGTGATCGCTCAACTAACGAGGAGTCACGAGTTGACACGTACAAGAGTTTGCCGTCCCATCAAGAAATGGCTAGTAACGCATTAGAGAACGCTTTTTTAAGGAAAATTCATGTAATTATCTTAGACTAGTTAGATCTCATTAACGACGTTAATGTTTACTTTAGCTTTTTTTCATACCGGAAAATAATCGGTGAAGGTTGTAGCTCTTGATATATGAGTGGCTAAAAGGTCCGCTATAGTAGAATGGCATTATGTTCTAGGTTTGAGGGTTTCTGAAATACTTGCATTTTTACATGTATCGAATGAAAACTAATGAGGTACCTCCTTTGAGTAAGAAATGAACTACATGCCACTAGCCAGTAACTCACTTTGAGTATAGAAAACAGTATGTGCCGTGTAAATCAGGGCAAGCAAGTCAAACATGCACACGATTAAAAAATAAATAAAGTGACATGCAAATTTTCTCTGATATTTTATTATTATTTGCACATAGTAGCTAGTGATAACTTCTGGAAAGAAATGGAAAAATGTGATATACAAGGCCGATTCTATATGCTTTACATTTCAGAATAAATCCCACGACATAGACTTTTGATTGAGACTTGAATGAGCAAGTTTTGTGGACAGAAACTCAATTGTTTCAAATATTTCTTTTCAGCTTTCCAAATATGGTAAGCGCTAAACGACAATTAATTGTACATAAAGGAATATAAAATATCTTCGTTCAAGACCAGAGGATCTCTTCCAAACAACTAATAAAAATATCATTCATCTCAACCATTCAACTTTTCTCTACTAATAAAAAATTTATATTTAAATAGATATACTTTTTTTTTTGAAAGATCTATCTATAATTAATCTTTCGTAACAAAAATATAAAAAAAGGGCTTTTAAGTAAGGATTTACCATTTGGATCTGAGTCAAATCGGCAAGTGCAACCAAATCCGGGCCCACCAACAAACAAACAAAAAAAAAAGGCACCAATGAAAAAAAAAATTTAGAACAAAGTTAGTAACCAACCAAAAATTAAAACGGAAAAAAGATATTAGAAACAGAAAAAATATATATATATCATCTTTATACCGCTCTGGAAGTTCTTCGCGGGTTGAAAGTGGAACCCAGACCTCTGCCACGTCAGCATTTCGTTGGTCCATGGATAGTCGTGCTCCTTTATCGGGTCCGAGCGCAGCTTTCGGGCCAAACCCGAAACGAAACGTGACGCCGACCCATCGGCGAGGAACAATGCGAGGGCAACGAGGAAGGCGGCGGTGAGCGTAAGTGCTACAAGCCTTAGCTTGCTCCGCGGAGGACGGGACTCGAGGAGTGGGGCGGATAGAGTAGGAGGGGACTCGAGGTCCGAAGAAGGCGACGCCATCGAATGGGCCCTTGTTGGCGTCAGAAAGTTCCCTCGGCCCCTAATTATTAGGGTTTTGACTTGTAGTAGTCTGTGCGTTCGCGTGATCATTCGCGGAGTTGCATCTACAACTTAAAAATTTGATCGGACCAAAAGCTGGATCCTTCGAGTTATAACACAGCAATTTGGTATTGAGTATTGTAACGCGCACAAGTTAGTACCAAACCCAAATAAAAAAAGGAAAATTTAAAAAAAAATTGATGAGATTTTCATAAAAAATTATTTGGCTCAATTGCAGAGGAACACCACATTTTTTTTTTTGACAATTGAGTAACACAAATCATATTTTGATACAATAAAATATCATAAATTTTCTTTAGAACTTGCATGTGACAATTGTCGACCATGCAAACGTCCAAATGTTCACCTAAATATTTTCTCTATGGTATTTACACACTAATTTTAAAGCTTTTTAACTAATAATATTTGTTAAATTTACCATTAAATTCACCATGTTTTCTAGTCAAACTTATCTTAATTCTACTTGATAATAGAGTTGTGATATTTCTAATAAAAATTTTAACAAATATTAATGGCTAGGAAGCTCTAATATGTATGTATCATAGAGAAACATTCAGACTTTCATATAGGCATGGTCGGTTGTAGTAACGTGTAAATCTTGAAAAGTTTATGATATTTTTTTAACCAAAATGTAACTGGTGGTATTTATTTATCAAAACGAGAAACTTTATGGTTGATTGTGATTTTTTTGTGATACCATTAACTCTAAAGTTGTGCTAATCAGAGTTAGAGCGTTATAGTTTTATAGTCTAACATAAAATATCAACAAAATTCTCTCAAATTATTTATTTATTTATTTATTAATTTGGAAAAAACACTAATAAGCTAGAAAGGTTAAATCTTACGAATGATATCTTGTGTTTGATGTCTAGAATCAAAAGATCCAGACCAGTATCATATGTTAATGAATTCTCTACTTTTATTACATATATAATGGAAATATCTGTCTCATCGCTATAAATGTCTTTCTGATTGTTTCCCCCCCTTTATTTGGTTTCATTACCCTTAAACCCCACATATCTAATCTAGAAAAGAAAATAAATACTCACAAAAAAAGGTCCCCCTCTACATCTTTCCAAATGAAAATTACTAGGATCAACTAAACATTGATGACCCTGGAAAACAACCAAACAAGTTGAAAACGAAAGGTCGAGTTGGAATCTTGCCATTGTAGCTAATTTGAGAAAAACTATACGTACACCTTGCACCGAAAACGTTTTCCTCCCACATGCACCTTGGCCAAGTGAAAAAAAATGCCAATCAACAACTAGGGAATTTTTAAATTTGTTGACATAATTAAAAATTGGACGATGAGTATTTTAGTAGGTGAAATCTTTGTCTCAAGGGATCTTCGAAAAAGTTGCGGATGGGCGCATCGACCGTTCATATGTACGTTGAGGGGTCAGTGGGGCATGGGCTTCACTGTTCGAACAGAGAGAGACATGTGCGGCTCAGGCGCGGGGGGCAAGTGGAGAATGGGACTTTAGGGTGAAAGTTGAGTTTCCTGATTTTCTACGAAACGAAGTTTAATTTGCATTTTTATTATTTTATAAGGTAATGAAATACGAGTACATATACTATCAGAATGCCTACACAATACTATTGCTAGTACATCAAGATATAAAATTAAAAAATTGATCTTGAACCTTAACAATTAAACACACAAATGGCTCTTGATTAATTAAATGTCCTTTGATATATAACATTTGATGTCGTTTTAGCTTTGGTCCCGTCTAGTCAGGGTCACATTTTTGTGAACCCCAAATGTTCATTTATTAATTGTTTACATCTTAACTCTTCTTAAGTAAAGGAATTAGCACAAGTATCATCAATAATGACTTGGAGCTAGATTAGGGGAAGAATACAATGAAAATTGAATTGACGTACTTAGAATCTTAATTAATTTTCTTGATGGATATATAATAACCTTAAACTAATTTTTTTTTTAACTATAAATGTTATAAATGACCCTTACAAGCCTTTCAATGCTTATTCTTACAAAAGGAAATATTAACATTGAAGGATCGTTAATAGCTTTTTTTTTTAATGAGGACCATACGCCTACCATACATGTTCGTTAATTGCATATGCATTACTACAAGAAATCCTAGAATGTTTAAAAATAATTACCCATCATGTCAATCAACGAACAGCCACAAGTATTGGCCGCTAATTCTAATGCTTATTTGTTTAAATTAAAATTTTAATAAAAAAGATGCTTTAGCTTTTAACTTTATATAATAATCAAAGTGCATTATTAAGACAAAGCTCTGAGCCTTTCAGTCTTGAGATCTGTGTGGATCTTTGATTTCTCTATTTTATTTGTGTGACAGTGTCATGTGTGTATCTTCTTCTGGTTTATTCTCCTACCTCGGGATCGGCTTTATATATATTTACGACCAAAAAAAGATTAATTACAGTACTAATAATTAAATTAATCAATTAAAGATCACATACCTTCATCACGTGCTTCAAACCCTAGATCGCTGTTAAGAGAAAGTGAATCTGATGAGGAGCGATCAAGGTAGGTAGAAATGGATGCATTAGCTCGAAGAAAATGACACGTGCGGTTCACGAGCGAGACAAACAGAGCCTTGAGGGGCCAAATGTTCTCCCAAACCAGTAGACGGCTAGAAAAACTTTGCCTTGATAATCGCTTGTACTATTTTTTAATATTTTATTGTATATATAATTGAAAGGAAACGATGCTCCAAATTCATATGAGCTGTTTTGCTTAGAGACGAAATGGTGATAGGTTATCTTATACCGATCTCGGTGCGATGAACATGCATTAAGTTAATTAAGCAGTAAATGTTGTTGAATATGTACGTTACTTGTAATTTGATTTCTACCCTTTTGTAATAAATTCTACATTACATTTGCGTACACTCGTTTTATATTGTTCTCACAACAAATTCTGTTGTGTTGATTTCATATCGTGTTTACGCTCTCGATCTCTTTTTAAAAGGATCCATGTACAAATATTTTTTGGTTAATTTCTTGTTCCATCTAATTACCTAATATTGAAATTGTTGCAATTATTAAACACTTGTTCTCTAATCTATGTACACAAATACAATACTGTTGGATGCTTTGTTCATGAAAATGCAATTTTGTCTTTGTGAATAGTCCCACATTGGAAAATGAGATGAATAGTATAGGGTATATAATGGTTCTCTCCTTATTGGGCTTTGAATAATGTTTTGGGTTTTGTGGGCTTTGCATATCTATCTCACATGCGCGCGCGCACGCCCCGCCGTACCGAACACATTTTTACTTCTCAAGCTTTTATTTTTGCATGTTTTACACGTTTTGTAACGGCTGCATGCGGGTAACGAAAGCAATATTTGTGTGTAACGGTCCATTGGATTCAGCGGGGGTTACACTTCTTCTTACCTATATAAACCGGCTTGGAGCTCATTCAGAGACACACCAACGAAGAGAAGAACAACTTCTAAGCTCTCTTCTTTCTCTACTCTCATATTTCCAAGAAATTTTCGGCTACATATTTACATTTATATTTTGGGTAACTGTTTTCGTCTGAGCATAATCTCTGTGACTCACGCCCGAGTGCAGGGGCCGGCCGATTCTGGGGTTTTTTACCGCTAGGGGAGAGGGGACAGATTGCGCCAGGGCGATAGGCGGGTCCTTAATCTTCTAGAACAGTGACATCACGACTGCTCCCGATCATGCCTGAATTTTCTAACTCTTTAATTTGGATTTTCTATTATTATATTCCAATTTTGACAGCAATCACTCTCCCAAAATTGAGTAACTAGCTATTTGGATCTTGGCCCCCTCAACATAGTCACATTTGCTGTGGGTGTGCCATACAGGACTCAATGATTATTAAAGAAAGCATTGCCTCAGAAATCTATGCTCAAATCATTATTCGGTTTTAACTTTTTTTCCTTGCGCTTCTCTATTTTAGCCTAACATATTTTCTTTAAAAAAATATTAAAAAATATACCCAAAAATATATATATACAATGCTCTAGACCCTCAATTATTTAGACTTGTTTTAGTCATAAAAAGCAAATCACGTCCTATCGGAACGAAAAGAGAGGTTGTCGCGGTTAAAAAGATGAGTGTAGCTAGTGTAAGAGACTTAGAGACCTGAGATTAGCTAGGCATTATTTTGCGTACAACCGAAAACAACTCGCTTCACTCGTGCTAACAAGGGTAATGGGTTTCATTTTCACGTTGAAAACGACTCTGATCACCATAGGTTAACTCTAATGATGAGTATGTATTTTAATAATAATAATAATACACTGTAGGTCAATGGTAAAAAGCTTTCTGAACAAATCAAAGGTCATGGGGTTTAAAGCTTGACGAACAAGCCTCAACTCATTTAACTAGCAATTCTCCAAAAGTTTAAACTCGGACCTTGACTAGACTTGGGTCGGGTCGGGTCGTGGATCGGGGCTAATCGTGGTGAAGTGTTAATGATGACGTAATGGGTGCTTTGCAGGTGCACTTTGCACAACACACAGAATGGTTGAGCCCGACCAGGGCCGGCCCTGATATTCTTAATTTTTCATGGGGCCCTAATCAAGCTTTCAAATGAGGGGCCTAATATACAATATTCCATACACAAAAAATTTTATAAGATAGCAAAATATTTTTTTATTAAAATAAGAAAATAAGCACATAATCGTATTAATATTAAAATAAAAAAACTTCTTGATGCTTTATAAATAACACAATTCATACTACATTAAATGGGATCGCCTTGCATTTTGAGCTGCAAAATTATCAATTAAAATGTTCCAATCAAGCTTCTCCAATAAATTTTTTTCGATAGATATCATAGCCAATCCATTCAATCTCTCTTGTGACATTGTTGATCGTAGATAAGATTTGATGAGCTTCAACTTTGAAAAGCTTCTCTCGGCCGATGCAACTGTAACTGGTATTGTCAATAATACTCTATAAGCAATCCAAGCATTTGGAAAACAACAATTTAGCCTTTCCATAAAATTCAATACTTCAATTGCTTTTTTTGTTCCTCTTGGTAATGCTTCTCTTAAGATTTGGAGTTCTGAAAATAATTCTATCCCATTAATATCAAAATTTTTGTCATGCTTTAGGAGATCTTCAAGGTTAAGACATGAACACTTCAAACTATCATTATCTGCAGACTTCAACCTCTCCAAATTAAACAAGAAACCAAAAGATTCATCATACTGTTGAAACTGTTCAAATCTACTCTTGAGTGAAGAAAGAGCTTGATCAACGATATATATGAAGTAATTGACTCTAAAGGATTCTTCAGCTGTCATTGCCATCTCTTTACTAGCATTTTCATCAAAATGTTTCTTTCTACGAATGATGCGACGTTCACAAAAAATGGGTTCAACTTTCATTCTAACTGCAATTTCTTTAGCCTCAACCATAGCTGCTTCAAATCCATTTTCTCTGTAGCTTTCAAAAAAAGAAATGAGCCCTCTTAAAAGGTCTATAGCAACATCAATCTGCATATCCTCTGATTGCATGATTTTACTTATTTTGTTAATAGCATTCAAAATATCAAACCAAATAACCATACCAAGTAAGAACTCAAAATTCTCAATTTCATATGCTGCTAAGCACTCAGCATCACTTTTTGTCTTGGGATCTTCACTAGAACTTGCTAAGTAAATCAAAGCATCTCTTATATCTGGAGCTTGGAATCTTATTGCTTTAACACTTTCAACCTGACCTTCCCAACGAGTTTGTGATGGTGGCTTAAGTGTGAAACCTTTAACATTATCTGTAAGAACTTTCCACCGCTTTGTAGAAGATGCAAACAATGAATATATGCGCTGCACCACTCCGAAAAAAGATGAAGCTTGCGAACAAGAGTTTACCATATCACAAAGTGCAAGGTTAAGACTATGACAACCACAAGGTGTGTAGAATGCTCTAGGATTTATCTCTAATAATCTTCTTTGTACACCTTTATGTTTTCCTTTCATATTAGAACCATTATCATACCCTTGTCCTCTTACATCACCAATATCAAGTTTAAGCTCTTGCAAAATATTTACAAGTTCTTCAAAAAGTCCTCGTCCTGATGTATCATCCACCTTTAAAAATCCTAAAAAGAACTCCTCCATCTTTATTGGGCTTGTTGAAATATTCACGCATCTTAATATAAGTGACATTTGCTCTTCATGGCTTGCATCCGGAGTACAATCAAGAATAACAGAAAAGTACTTTGCTTCTTTAATCTTTTGGATGATTAAACTTTTGATCTCATCTGCTATTCGAAGAATAAATTCATTTTGAATTTTGTGACTAAGATAATGATAATGAATTTCTTTCTCCTGAACTCGACGAACATGCTCTTTCATTATTGGATCAAATTCGGCAATCATTTCTATTATACTTAAAAAATTTCCATTATTTTCTTCATAAAGCTTCTCATTATCTCCACGAAATGCCAAACTATTTTTAGCAAGTGTTTTCACAACAGCAACTACTCTCAATAGTACTTTTCTCCAATGTTCTCGTTCTTTGTTGATTTGTTCTTCAACACTTTTATCGATTGTCACATTTTGTCGTAATCTGGTCTCTAATTCAATCCAACTCTTCATGTTAACAATGTGTTCACTACTTGTTTCATGACTTTTAAGTCTGGCACTGAGATTTCTCCAGTCTCTAACTCCATCATTTGCCAATTGAATTTTGTTTGCATCATTTTTGAACAACTTACAACAAAAACAAAAAACCTTGTCCAAAAAATTTGAATAGATTAGCTATTTTCTATCATGATGTTCACCATTGGATAAGTTACGAATGTAATGTGTTGAGGAGAAATGTCTGCCTTCTGAATCTTTTGGAAAATCAAGATTATCATTTCTTTTGGGACCTCTTTCAACTAGTAAGTCTCTCAATCTTTGATCAATATTTTTCCAATTTCCTGGGTCATTTATGTTTGAAGGCCTTCTTTCAAGGTTTTCTTGTTGTACCAAATCTTCATGTTCATTTACATTTTCTTCATGTTCATTTACATTGCTATTCTCATTCAAATTTCTATTCTCATTGGAATCTTCATGTTCTTCACCTTCTTCAATGGAATTTCTATTCTCATTCAAATTTTCATTAACCAAATCCTCGCTTTCTTGATTTTCAGGTTGCTCATTTTCAACATTCACCGAATCTTGAACTAAATTAGAATATGTATTTCTACTACAAGTAATAAATTTTTCAAGTGCTCCCGCTTGAGATCGATTGAATTCTTCAATTTTTTGTTTCTTTATCCGCTTATCATGTCCAGACATATACTTTCGAGGAGGCATGATATCCAAATTTAATTCTGAATCTGCTACAATCTAATAAATATCAAGAAAAATAAATTAATCAAGAATTCCTACCAAAAAGCATGTTAGGGACTAAAATATATCAAATATTTAAATTGAAATTTGAAATTAAACAATAAAATCTAGTGAGAACTAATTCCAATTCCAATTTCAATTTAGGCCCTAATCAATTTTAATTTCAATTTCACAAAGCCCTAATTCCTAAACCCTAATTCCACAAAGCCCTAATTCCTAAACCCTAGTGAGAACTGAGGACTTACAGATAAATCAAAATTTCTACATCAATTCACGATCTTGTCAAAAGGAGCATAGAAGTGAAGAAGACAAGAAGTGAAACCCTAACCTTGGCTTGGTCAATGGCGGCGGGCCGGCGGCCGGCGGGCGAGATCCGAGAGGGAGGAGGACAAGCCGACAAGGACGGCCCTGCTGGAGGAAGATCCGAAGATTGGAAGAAGAGAGAGATCAGAGAGAGAGGGTTTTCATTTTTTTTCCCTTTGTGAGAGCGGCCCTGGATTGGATACAGAGAACGGGTTCAAGTCTTGAAGATAGGGGTGGTTTTGTTGAGTATTTATGCTATTAGAACCCTTTAAAAATTTTGCACAAAAGTCCTCTTACATTTTCATCTATATATATGTATCTAAAATGGGGGCCCTTGTTTTTTGGGGGCCCTAGGCGAAAGATTGTCCTGCCTATGCCCAGGACCGGCACTGAGCCCGACCTAACAACGCCTTTTAACTCGGACTTTGGTCTTTTTTTTATGGAGTTCGGCTTAGAGACGTCTTTCGACTTGAACTTCGACTTGTTGGAGGAGTCAGCTTAGAAATTAGGCTTATGATTTGATTTATTTAATGGGTCTATTTAATAGGCTCATTAAATAGACCAATTAATATAGTTAGTGGGTTGAGTGTGTGAACTGACCTTTGGTTTGCTCTAATTAATGAGCTAGCAACTATTAGGTTGGATTAGAGACCTATATAAATTCTTTTGAACAACAATAGAGATCTTCTCTTTTTAAAGTATCCCACTGCTGGAAACATAACTTTTAGCGACGGAAAAATCCGTCGCTAAAAGTAGAAAATCCGTCGCTAAAACCTTTAGCGACGGAAAATATAAAATTCCGTCGCTAAAATATCGTCCGTATAGTGAGGGTAGCGAACATGTGTTTTAGCGACGGATATTCCGTCGCTAAATTTTAGCGACGAAACATTAGCGACGGATAATCCGTCGCTATACTTTATTTAAAAAAATTAAAAAAACTTTAGCGACGGATTTTCCGTAGCTAAAACATGTTTTAGCTACGGAAAATCCGTCGCTAATAACTATTAGCGACGGAAAATCCGTCGCTAATTACTATTTTTGAAAAAATAAAAAAATAAAAAAAACGAATATTCCGTCGCTATTAACTTTAGCGACGGAAAATCCGTCGTTAATATTATCTATTTTCCGTCGCTAAAAGTGTATTTAGCGACGGATAATCCGTTGCTAAAAGCTTCCAATATTTTTTTAAAAAATAATTTGAAAATTGAAAAAACCTGTACAATAATATAATAAATTTAAAATCCTGTTCAATCAGCAGTATAATATTCATTCTCACGCATATATAACACATAATTTAATTAAAATATCCCAACATAGTAAGCGTTGTTTATACAGTACACACCATGATAAGTATTGTTTATACAACACACTCATTCATTGTTTTCAAAGGTAAAAAAACAAATCAGTCCTCTTGATCATCATCCTCATCACCAGCTCCACCTTGTCTAGAAGTCCCGGCCTGCAATTATAAATCAAACGTTAACAACATGGCATGACATTCAAGTATAGCAATAAGAGAGTATCATGGCATATTCTTATGTATTATACGCACGCACACACAATTTTTACAACAACGCATACACACACCCTAACAACGCATGCACGCATAATTTTTACAACAATACGCGTACACGCACAATTTCTCACCATATGCGCATGTACGCGTACATGCTCATACGTGTACATGCACATACGCGTATACGCACGCACGCACACATACACGCGTGCACGCATGCACGCATGCACCACACTCCACACCCCCCACCCCCCACCCCCTCCCCCTCACCCTACATCACCACCACCACCAAATCCACACTCCTTCCCCTCCCCCACCATGACCAAATCACCCCCCAAGCAATCACATAACCAACCATACGCACGCACGCACCACAACAACACAACCACGACTAACTAACCAATTCACCAACCAATACTATCATCACTACGCATGCACGCACCATCAACACCACCATCACATAAAAATATTATACGCATGCACGCACGCGTGCATGCACGCACGCATGCACACACACATACACGCATGCACCACACTCCACACACCCCACCCCCACCCCCTCCCCCCCTACATCACCACCACCACCAAATCCACACTCCTTCCCCTCCCTCACCATGACCAAATCACCCAGCAAGCGATCACATAACTAACGCATACGCACGCACGCACACACAACAACACAACCGCACCAACTAACCAATTCACCAAACCAATATTATCATTCACTAAGATCTCTCTTCTATAACTAACCACGCACGCACGCACCACAACAACACAACCACGACCAACTAACCAATTCACCAACCAATATTATCATCACTACGCACGCACGCACCATCAACACCACCATCACATAAAAATATTATACGTATGTATTTTGGTCTTTGTGTTAGGGTTAGAGTTAGGGTTTGTATGTAAAAGTGTGTATCGATGTGTGTGATATCATTTAGTCACATGGCATATTCATAACTAAGTAAGAATTAAATATATGTAATTCATTTAATTTAAAAAAGTAATATATATATATATATATATATATATATATATATATATATATATATATATATATATATATATATATATATATATATATATATATATATATATATATATATATATATATATATAT